TTACTCCTGTTAGAATTCTGGCTAGATTAAGAAACAATGGAGATAAATGCCCAGTCTCTAAGAGCCAGGCAGTGAGGATGGATGATGGGAACCATGAAGAGTACCACACCCAGGATGCAAGTGCCCTTCACTGTCCTGCTTTTGTTCTCATGCTTGTCCAAGTTTCAGCATGTTACCTCACATTTAGTCAACAGCAACTTAGGTGTAGTTATGTCCAATAATGTCAATCAGGAGTTAAGAAATGTGTGAATGTAATTCTAGATCAATAATCCATCACAGTTACTACTATATACCTGTTTCGTTTTTCTAATACATATTTATAGCAGTTTTTATCTTCCAAATTCACTACAACTATTTGTCCATGGTATTTGAGTTAGTTCACTTATAAACCTTTTATCATGTATTTTATTAGATTAGACTCTGAAATTGTGACACTGTCTAAGTACATGGTCACTCAAGTCCCTGAGTCACCTGCCTTTTCAGTGTTAACAGGCTCAGTCCCAAAGGTGTATTTGAAAGTTGGAAAATCCTGTCTTATCTGTTTTAAATTCCCTAGGAAACATAGCAGCATAGGTCATCTTTAAATGTAGGTGATTATATTTGACCAAGATTACACAGGAATGTAACAGTGTGACAATACTCCAGTTTTAAATGTTACATATTAATTCTTTTGTCTATTTTCCATTCATTGAAAAGACATTTTTTCCATACATAAAATATTTTCTAATTTCGTATTGTCCTCCAACCCATCTAAGACCTTCCTCCCCACCCCTCTCATTGAAACCCACACCTTTTCATCTCTTTCTCTCCTTAGAAAACAAATAGGCATCTATAATAAAAATAAAATAAGATAAACAAAACAAGCAAACTAGGATGGCTCAAATTCCATTTTTAACGTAAGGAATTATCCTATTTTAGTGTAAGTTAATCTCTCCCTGTCTCTTACTTCTCCCTCTTCCTCGATTTCTCTCTCTCTGTGTTCATCTCTCTCTCTCTCTCTCTCTCTGTGTGTGTGTGTGTGTGTGTGTGTGTGTGTGTGTGTGTGTGTGTGTGTATGTGTGTGTGTTAATGAGGCTTGTGTGTGTGTGTGTGTGTGTGTGTGTGTATGTGTGTGTGTGTGTGAATGAGGCCATAAGAGTGCCTTGGATCCCTTGGGATGCTGGTATAGGCAGTTGCAATCTGCCAGACATGGGACCTCAGAACTAAGTTCAGGTCTTCTGTGTGAGTAACAAATGCTCTAAAGGTTAGGTCATCTCTCAGTGCCCACAACTGCTAATAACAAGTGTGTGATTATTTACAATTTAATAGCAGTTTGATTACATTGAGTGTGTGCAAAGCCCTCAAATACCCTCCACAAAAATGGAGGCAGTAACTAGGAACATTTCTGTTTATACAAGACCTCCCTAACGTCAAGTGCACAAGCACTTGTTAAGTATTTTCCTTTCTGAACACAATGCTAATTCAAAGTTGTTAATCAAAAACACCACCCACTATTGGGCATCTACCCCCTGTATTTCTGTGTCACAAGTGACTTCAGAGATGTGCCAGAGCTATCAGGGTAGCTTCAATGTCACAGAGGTGGTCTCTGTAATCACACCTGGACAGGATGTGACCATCTTAGTGAAGATGAAAAGTGAGGCACTGTATCTCACCTTCTGTGGAATCTGGGCAAGGCCTGCTGCAATCACATTGGCCCTTTCTTCTGTTAGCTTACCCACCATGGACCCCAGGGAAAACACCACAACACCGTGCTCTCCAGAAGACTGGACAAAGTCCTCTATTTCCTGTTAATGAAATACCAGCCCATCACAAAGAGGAGCAACATCAAGCCTCCTGCATAAAAACTGACAGCACTCTCCACAGGAAGACACCGAGCAGCATTAGAAATGTTAGAGGAGTGGGTGCTTTAAAACTGTTCACATCCACATATAAGATGTACAGTTGCAGCCAGCTGGACAGTTAGAGTTCTCTGTGTTACACATATCCACAGTCATACAAACAATTCTGGAACATTTTCATGTTGAGAAGCAAGACTTGGTGATATTAAATTTAAAGTTGTCTTTCTCCCTTCTCAGTACCCCCAAACATCTGCATTCTGTTTGTATTATCTTGGTCACTTACGTAGATTACAGAAGCCATTCTTATTTTATTTCTGTCTTGTTTTTGCATAGTTTACTTAGCATAATGTCATTTAGGTCATACCATGCATCTTAAAAACTAGGTTTTTAAGTGTTATTGATGTTTTTGTATTTTCAAAGTATATAATTTTTATCAACAATTTAATGTTTTCTAGGTTGCTTTTTCCACTCTTAGTTATTGTTCTAATATTGTGAGGAGACACCAAGATTAAGATAAGTTATAAAATAAAGCACTTAATTGGGGGCTTGCTAGAAGTTTCACAGGGTGAGTCTATAAGCATCATGGTGGGGATCGCCATGGCAGGTAGGCAGGCAGGCAGGCATGGGACTGGAATAGTGACCCAGTATTCAACCTGAACCATAAGTTGCAGACAGAGAGAAAGAGACCAGGATTGTTTTGGGCACTTGAAACCTCATAGTTTACTTCCTATGACACATTACCCCCAACAAACCCACATCTCCTAATTCTTCCTAAAGAGGGCACCAACTGATAACCAAACATTCAAGTGCAGGAGCCTGTGGGGACCATGCTTATTCAAAGCACCAAGCACTTCCCTTCAGGAATAGTGCTGCTATGATCATCCTTGCATTATTATCTCATAGAGGTTCTTCATTCAGTTCCTTTACATACATTCTCAGGAGTGGAATTCATGGACCACAAATCTATTTCTAATTTTGTTAAGGATGTCCATTCTCTTTCAATTTGCGTTTTGTAACTGATATTAGTTTCATTGGAAATACGTTTCTATTTGCTGACATTTTATGTTACTGTGTCTGTAGTGCTGTGCATGGGTGTATGTATGTTTGTACAGGAGTGTGTTTTCTCTTGCTTGATTAATAAAGAAAGTAAATAGACACACGTAAAGTTCAATGGCAGACGTTTCCTTAGAGTATAGGGTTGGGAAAAGATTTTTCATTTAAATGGACCTAATAAATAAGCTGGTGTAGCTATCCTAATATCTAACAAATTAGACTTCAAACTAAAATTAATCCAAAGAGATGAAGATGGGCATTTCATATTATTCTCAGGAAAAGTTCATCACCATAAAGTCTCAATTCTGAACATCCATGTTCCAAATATAAAGGCACCCAATCCATTACAGAGACATTACTAAAGAAAGTAATTAGAGCCATTTTGACTCGAGAAAATGTGTTTTTCTTTGTTTACACTTCATCTATTTTCACTCAAATCATTTTGTATCGCACTGGGATTTTGGACTAATCTCTGCATTTAGTATATGTATGTTCTTTTTACACTCAAAAATAAGAAAAAGTTTTAAAAAATAGAATCTTGTTGAATTAACTTAATCAAAATGAAATTCACACTCTTGTGATGGAATGGATACATGTTTCTACTGGATGCTTTCTCTTTCTAAATTCTTGTGGCTCTCTGAGTTTGACACACATTCTGAAGGAATAAAATATAACCACTCCTGCTGAAATGCAAAGAAAACAGGAGCAAACAAATGGGACATTATTTACCTTAGGCAGAGGCTTGGCAGGTCTGCAGTGGAGTCCTCCAACAAAATCAAAATTTGGTAAGACAGGGTGAGGAAACTCCAGATCCCAGTAGGTTCGGATGAGCCATATATCTGCCTTGCCCATCATTTCCAGGAGTGTTGTGGGTCTTCCTGAAGAGAAATCAGAACAGTGAAGGTACAACTGGTGACAAAATGTCAGGTGAAGATGAGTAAACCAGGTAGTCTTCTGAAAGCCTTTTGATAATGTAGCCAGAGTTGTTTACAAGTGTGTGGCTTGAATCATGTGTTTGTGTGTCAGTCTATCTGTCTGTCTATATCTGTGTGTATAATGTTTGATAAGAGTAAATTTGATAGTAGATAAATTCACTGTGCAAGAGACATGGGAGAAAAATACTACATGTGTAACGTATCTTGGAAATTTATGATTACCAAATATTTAGATATGCCTTTTAAATATAATCAATGCCATTAGATATGAATCTATTTTGTCATATTCAGGAAAACACATTTCATGGAACTCTTCATCTAGTTTACTCTATTTAACTGTTAGAACCTTGATGTATACGTATGTATTAGTATATGTATATATATATGTATATGTATATGTACATGTATGTATACATATGTATGTATTGATGTGTGTTCCTCTGAGGGAACTGAGAATTTTGTGCTGTTTTGGTTTGCTTTGAGATTATCTGATACAATAGAGCCCAGGATGTCCCTTATGTCACTATGTAGCCAAAATTGACCTTGGACTCCAGATTCTCTTCTACATCTCAACTACTGGGATTACAGGTGTGTGCTGCGTTGCCCAATGTGAACCGTTTAGGGGATTGTAGACTGCAGCAGCACTTCATTTTGAGACAGGGTCTCACTACATGCCTAGCTAAGCTCAAAAATAATTTTCATTTATTCCTGGGTTCTTGTCCTCATAGTGCTCTTGATTCATGATTGACAGTGTAATATTTAGGTCTGTGCAAGGTTGTTTGCAGATAATAAGGATAACAAGTCATAAAATATGGAGAGAGAGATGTTTGGTCATTAGGTATATTTTAAAAGTCTGTAACTAATAATCACTATCTACACTTCAGTGTTACACATTTCAAACATAATTTCTACCCTCCTAATAAATAAATATAGATTCTCCAAAATCCTTAATTCATATGTTTTCTGTTCTTGGTACATAGTGTATTCACCAGATGTACAGAAATTCAGTAGGTGAAATGAGAAATTAGTTGAAATTATCAATAAGAAGAATAATGTATAAAAAGGGAAAAGTTCACAATGCTATGTAGATACCATTGCTAGAAATGCTTATTAGTCCTCAGTCTATATGTACAAATGAAGATATTGAGTTTGTTTAAACTACTATTTTAGGGGCTAGGTGGTAAAAGTGTTTCAGTCTCCAAAATGCCTGAACACCTGTATGTATCTTGACAATCCAAGGGAAGTGAAGTAGAAACTAACAAATTCGAATTTGACCTCACATACGTTTCTGCCCACCCATGACACAAGTGTGCATGTGCATACTCATGATAATAATAGTAATAAGAGCAATATAATGATGATGATGAAGATAATGATGGTGATGCTAATGATGCCACCACACAGGTAAAACTACTGTTTTAAAACATGAGAGAAAATGAGTTGTGGATATGTTATTTCTTAGAGAAATTCTCAAAGATTTGTTGTTCAAGGGTGTGCCTTTCTGAAGTGTCCTGTGAAAGTCATAGCTAAGGCTTTGCAGTTGACCTTAGGACATAAGCTTTTCTACAATGCTTTAATTTCAACAGATAATTTCACAGACTTTTTACAATTTTCCCTAGGAGAGATAAATCATTCTGCTGCCAATCCTATTCTTTCAAGTCTCCTTCAATGACACAGTAATTGAGAATATAACAATCCCAACTGAACAAGCACTCACCTAATACTTCAGTGTAAAGCTGATTCCACTTCTTCTCATTAAATGTTTGGAACCAGAAGTCAAAACAAAGCACATAGAGTACATTTTGCACCCTCTCCATGAACGTCATCTGATCACTCAATTCTGACAGAGCAGGTGGCACATAGGAAGGAGGTAGTGGGAGTCCTCCACTGTACTTTTCATATGTGGAGCCAGGGAAGAAGCGGAGACTGAACACCAGTTGTATCTTGAGAATCTCAGCCAGCAGATCACCACAGGGTATGAAGGGATCTGCCAGGATGACATCAAAGCTTGAGGTTTGTAGTTTTTTCATGAGTTCCTTGTTGAAAACGACATCTTTGCATAGACTTTCAAAATAATCTGAATCTACCCAAACCAATTCTTGATACATTAAAAAGTATTTCCAATATGATTGCTTTGGCAGCTCATAAATGTATTTGTTCATTGACTCCATGTAAAGTTCCTCCAATTCAGTCATGGAAAATGATGAAGGGTATATCTCAAACTCAATAGCAGATGTATCAAATTCAATAGCAGATGTGTCCTCAACCTCATAAGAAAGAGAAGCTGAGGGTATCAGAACAGTCACTTCATGACCCTTCTTCACAAGCTCATCTAGGATTGTCTTTAAGTTGAGCCAATGGCTGTATTCCATTGGCCACACCAGCACCTTCCCACCACTCCCAGATTCAAAGAACCCACTCAGTTGTAGCAGGAGCAGGGCTGCTGTCATTTTCACAGACATCTTGGTTAAATTCAGAGCTGCATTTCAAATGGTGATTCCTCTGCTCTTGCAGGTATACAAAGTATAATAATTAGTTAAAATATAACTTGTACCCACTAAAGCAAACACACACAGGATAGCCACAGCCTCTGGGTGCTAAGTGCCAAAACCATAATGCAGTTGTGAACCAGTGAAATGATTCCTGATTCTCAGTGACCTTGAATGTGCTGGGTGAAGAGTGGAAAGTGAGACCTCTTTCTCCCCTATTTCTTCATGTAGCTTCCTTGGTAAAAAACTTGAAAGAAAGATATAGCTGTTGAGTCACAGTTAAAAATAAATCACAGTTCAGTGTGTCTTCATATGAATGTTGACCATACAGATCATGTACCATACTATTAAATGATTTTAGATATATGAATCAGTGGTTCACATTATAACCTCAGAATTCTAAACACTACAATCAAATTTAGAGCCTATTTTATCCTAGATAGAAGTCCTGTTCTTTTCACTTTTCCATTGGTTCCATCTCTGCCCAGTCAGGATACTGCTTTCTTGTAACTAGTCAGCCTGCAGGAGTGAATATATTTTCATGAGACACTTCTGCTTTCCTCCTTGACTATCAGACTATTGAAAGAAAGGACCCCAGTGAAGTTTCCCAGTGACTTTTTGCTGGGAGAAGAAAAGTCTGATGCCTTGAGGGCACCCAGGAGGAGTCTGTCCTCAAGAGGACCATTTACAAGCAATGTAGACAAAGCTTTCTGAAGAGCCAAAGAGCCAATATAATGGGGGCAAGTGACCACACCATGGCTGGACTGATTAGCTATGCATATGGCTTGTTAGAATCCCAAAGTTGGAATTGTGCATGGCATGAATGACTGACTCTCTCTGGCTCTCTTCTTAAAGTGATTGCAATGGATGAATCTGTTTTTCTTTGTATCTGCATTTCACAATTAATTTGGCTCCTTTGATTGTGTGTGTATGTATGTTTGTGTGTATGAATTTCAAATTTATTTTTCATGTTTGTGATTTGTCTTTTCAGTACCCAGAACACACACACCCACACCCACACACACACACCCCCACACACACACACACACCAACCTAATAATTTATTTATTTATTTATTTATTTATTTTCTGTTTTTGAGAGAGAAGATGGCTCATGTAGTCCTTGCTGTCCTCAAACTCTTTTTGCAGTTCATGCTAGCCTGAAACTAAGAGATCCTCTTGCCTTTCCCCCTGGAGTGCTCAGGTTAAAGGCATGTGCTACCATGACTGGTTACAGTCTTTGTTATTTTTTTATTTATATATTTTTTTTACATAAAATGCTGTTGCCTTTTTGTGTTTGGAGGTAGGGCTTCGTTCTATAGAGTTGGCCATCATGGAACTCACTCTGTAGACTAAGCTAGTCTTGAACTCACAGAAATCCTCTTGAATCTGCTTCCAACAAGCTAGGACTAAAAGAGTGTGCCAGCTCTGCCTGGATACAAAAATAACTTTTATTAAAAATTAAAAAAGAAGAAGCTTATGTTAGCCAGGAATGATCAACACACCTTGAATACCAGCACCTGGGAGGCAGTTGCAGGCAGATCTTTGTGAGTTCAAGGCCAACCTGGTCTGCCAAGAGAGTTTGAGGACACCCAGAGCTGCATAGTGAATTTCTGTCTAAAATATACAGGTAAACAATCACAAAGGGAAAGAGATAAAAGAAAAGAATAGAAATAAATAAAAAGAAACCTTTCACTTCAAACCCTGGTGTTGGAGTATTGACTCAGCAGCTAAAGGCACTGGTTGCTTTTCAATAAGACCCAGGTAGATTCCCAGCCCCCACATGGCTCACAGACATCTGTAACTCCAGTCACAGTGTTTGCTATGCCATTTTCTAGTTTTGAATGTACCAAGCATGCATGAGGTACATACACATTTATTTTGGAAAAAAAGTTATATAGCATATATAAATGAATAAAACTTAAAATAGGGCCCTAAGATGCAATTGTAAGCAAGTAGGCTTGGAGAGGGATTTGAATCCCCTGTAGAAATAGTTCCCTTAAAAATCTGCAGTATGGGAATTAAGGAGGCAATATACCTTTAAATTCTCAATATGCTGAAGTGGAATTGTGTGCTAACCAAGGCACAAAGAGGGTGTTTAAAGTGAACCTTGGAAGGAACCACCCCCCCACCCCCCTCCACCACCCCGGCCATGCACTTGATCTCATCTAAGGTGAACTTTGGTTTCTGCTCAGGACTGTGTTGAATCTAAGTATTGATAGGAGCCAGAGTGTACTTCTGTTACTTCTGTTATCTTATATTTTTTTCCCTTTGAAAATTAGTGTTCTTTTAAACATTGTGAGCTAAGTTTTCTTTTGGCCAGTGTTGCCCTTATAGATGGACCTGTAATTTAAGCACTTTGGCATAATCTGTTTCCCTAACCACGGAACTCATTGGCCAGCTTCAGCTCTCTTCCTTATTTCATTTGTTTCTTTTCTTTTTTTATTTAGTATTCACCAACATTTATTTATGCAAAATTCAAGTTCCAATGATACTTGGCCAGCTTCAGCTCTCTTCCTTATTTCATTTGTTTCTTTTCTTTTTTATTTAGCATTCACCAACATTTATTTATGCAAAATTCAAGTTCCAATGATACAGTCTTTTTTACACAGTAATTTAAACAGATTTGGCATCTGAGAAACCCATTTGGGGCCAGTCCTTCTCCAGATACAGACTAGAGGGATACAGAGATCAGGTGAGGACAGGAGAAAACACAGGCAGCAGGAGCATAGCGGGATATTCTGACATTAGGGAAGGCAGCTGTTCTCATCCTGGAGCTGGGCATCAGCATCTGCCTACTTCCATTGCTAACAAATGAGGGAAAAGGTAAGCAGGCAGGATGGTTGCTGTGACAGCTGCAGCAGCCACACAAGGCCATCTGCACACCCAGGGACACACAAAACACCTTAGAGATATAGTTCATCACAGGATGGTGACTGGTGAGGTCTCCCCCAGAAAAGGAGTGGACCGGGAATAAGTGACACTTTGAAAAAAGGCCCTATGCACAAAAATAGACTGGAAGACCGGAATAGAATTGAAAACCCTGATATTACCCCACACACCTATGAACACCTGATTTTTGACAAACAATCCAAATTTATACAATGGAACAAAGAGAACATCTTCAACAAATGGTGCTGGCATAACTGGTTGCAGACATGTAGAAGACTGCAGTTAGACCCAAGCCCATCGCCTTGCACAAAACTTAAGTGAAAATGGATCAAAGATCTCAACATAAATCCAGCTACACTGAACCTATTAGAAGACAAAGTGGGAAATACCCTTGAATTAATCGGTACAGGAGACAGGTTCCTGAACATTACACCAGTAGCACAGGCACTGAGATCAACAATTGATAAATGGGACCTCCTGAAACTGAGAAGCTTCTGTAAGGCAAAGGAGACAGTCAGTAAGACATAACGGCAGCCCACAGACTGGGAAAAGATATTCACCAACCCCCCACATCTGACAGAGGTCTGATTTCCAAAATATACAAAGAACTCAAGAAGCTAGTCTCCAAAACACCAAAAAATCCGATTAAAAAATGGGGCACAGAACTAAATAGACAATTCTCAATAGAGGAATCTAAAATGGCTGAAAGATACATGAGAAAGTGTTCAACATCCTTATTCATCAGGGAAATTTAAATCAAAACAACTCTGAGATACCATCTTATTCTTTTCAGAATGGCTAAAATCAAAAATACCAATGACAGTTTATGCTGG